ACATGTAATACTTCTTTTACAACAATTTTCACAGTATGCTTAATTTTGTAGATCAATCTGCAACTGATTGCTAATATTAATTGAATGAGAAGTTTTGCTGTGAATGCTTTAAATTATGTCCATTATTGATTTGATATTTTTAAAAAAATGCCTTTTTATGTTTTATAACTAACTTATTAAATAGTTTACATCTTTTGAGGTTAAGAACTCAAATTGCCTAATTGTGATATAACGAATAACACTTTTAAATATTCTTAATTCAGATTAGATTTAGATTTTAAGACAATTTCTTCAAACGTGGTGTAAGAGTAAAATTTTAATTATATTTTATATCAGGTGAGGTCTCATGACAATCAAAAAGCGGACGGTTCAATTATCTGAAAAGGTATTAGCTTTTTCACAACTTGGCGCAGCTGTTCTTGATCATCGTGCTTTTAATATGGTTTCTTTTAAAGAAACATCTGATCCTTATTAGTAACAAAGCTATATGGATAATCTCACTCTATTATACACTCTCTTTGCTTCCATATTCACCTTTAAAATGGATACCTAGGAATGTGTCACTGACTAAAAGAAATATAAATATTATAAATGGTTGTCAGGCTTAATGGTCATATATCGTCATCATGAACAGTTTCTTTGGAATGTAAAAAAAACTTCATAAGGCTACACGAATAAAATGAATATTTTAGCTACAATCCTGTGAAATCACCTGTTTTCTTTTTATGTTTATCGCATGCGAAAAAGTCATCATTACATTGTTTACTAAGAATAAAGAACGTTTACTATGCAAAAGTAAAATACCATATTTTTTATTTTGTGACACAAAATAAACACACAAACATTTAATTTGTTAGTGTTTTATACGCTGTTTCAACTTGCGACAAACAACACTGTCCTATTAAATAAATTTATGAAAATAAACAATGCTGTTATGGGTGGCTTTTCAATTCTAAGAACTGAAATTAAACTGCTACTTAAAAAAACTGTTGTAGGTAATAGTAGTTTACCTACGACCGTTTTTAAAGTAGCCGTTTCAGTACAGTTCTTAGAATTGAAAAGTATCTCATAACAGCATTGTTTACTTTCATAACAGCATAGTTTTACTCGTAACAACATGGGTAACGGACCAATGAGGACCAAGGATTGAGAGAGGAGAAGCAAAATTGTAATGATTCGAAATTCAAGTAATCAGCTGTTCGGGCCAATTTAATTGTTGATTGGTGCAATCAGTATTTGATACAATGTTTCGTTGTATCACTATCAGTCGCAATTAGATGTTATAAACAAAAACATAACCTCTCTTAGAAGTTATGAGTAGTGATTTTTAGTAATTAAAACACCGTCGTAGGTAAAGTAGTGTACGCAAATCGCGTAAATAGTGTTAACGACACTCGTAGAAGTTTTTAAGGCACTCGCCAAGGCTCGTAACTTAAATTTTCCACTCGTGTCGTTAACACTATCTTTACGCAATCGTTGCGTAAACTACTTAACGCAACGAATGCGTAAAGTAAGAGGTTTTTAAGGCTCGTACCTTAAATGTTCTACTCGTGTCGTTAACACTATCTTTAGGCAACCGTTCCGTAAACTACTATAATATATGTTTTTAATTTAATAAACAGTATCAGCATTCTGACACATACTTTCTCCCATAAGTTTGTCAACAAGCTTTGTCATGGGTAAGCGGTGAGAGTAAAATATGATATTTTATAGTTAAAAATCATAAAAGTTGCAATAACATTTGAACCAGAATTGTTACGATGGGGTGTTTTACTATTTTATTTTTAATTATAAGGACCATAACATATTAATTTTGATCAAACCAGCTTTTCTCCAAAAATATGATTTTCTCAAATATTCAGTGACCTATTTTATACTCTTGCTACCCCATTGAGCCCATTGGGTAGCTGAACTGTACCTTACCTTCCCTTTATCATATGTGACGCCAATTCAATCTGTTTAAATGGTATTATTTTGGAGAATCTTATCACACACGTGTTAAAGTAGACAAATATATTATTATATTATTAAAGTAATACAATCAAAATATATGTAAATGGTTAAAGCCATTTAACAAATACAATTTTAGGCATATGGCACATCAAATTGAAGCTTAGAGTGTGTGGATTTGCAGAAAATTATTGGTTTGAACAAATTTCTTATTCGCTCAGCCCCACAGGCCGATTTCCAAAGGGCTACGCCTGATATGCTTCCAAAGTTTAACTAGGTGTACAATGCAGTTGTCTGCTTGCAATATTGAGCGGAGCCAGCATATTAATTCAATGTTAATGATATTTTTGGTTCGCATTTTAAATAGAATGCCTATTTGCAGTAGGTATCCAAAGTCAATCATAAGTCAGGATTAAGTTAATGAATTGTCTACTTGCAGGAACCATATTCTATGTTTCATCTGGTTCTCATAAGTTAAATGTCTACTTGCAGTATCCAATGATATCTTTGGTTCGCATAAATGGAATGCCTATTTACAGATTCTAAAGTAAATGGTACGTCCGGTTCACGTAGACCGATTGTTTACTTGTAGTATCCAAACTCAATGGTACATGTTAAATGTCTACTTGCAGTATCCTAAATCAATGGTCCATTTATTTCGTTCACTTAAATAAAATGCCGAATTGCAGTATCCGAAGTCAATGGTAGGCTTAGGCCTACTTCTGCTTTACTTATATGTGATGTCTATTGTCTATGTGCAGTATTCAAAGTCAATGATACGTCGGGTTCATGTCAACGAATTGTCTAATTGCAGTATCGAAACTATGAGTGTTACTTCTCCTTCTCCACGCAACATAGGCTTAGGCCTAATTAGTTGACTATTCATTGTTGTTAAAAAGAAAAGAACGATTATACAATTAAATATAAACGTCATGATTTTAATCACTCAATATAGAACTGATTGTTAATCAATCCGTATTACATGCAATTAACTAATATGCTCTTTTAGTATTCATCAGATTTTTTCTTTTGTACTGTATTTATAATGTGGTAGATTTGTCGACTAACATATGTTGAGGCTCTTGTTTACTTTTTAGTGTTTACTCGCAAATAATGTCATGGCAACCAATTAACCCATAAGGCCCATGTTAAATTTCTAAAAGTTTGCATTCATGTAGGGAAAAGTCCTATGGTCCTATTTGTACCATTTCAGATTTATACCTTCCCATGTTTGGGTACTATGACTGCGTTAAATTTCGTGAAGATCGCTTCAGCCGTTCAGGAGGAGTATTTGTAAAACAAAAGCAGGAGTGTAGTATAAGAGCTTCGCTCGCTTCGCTCGCTCTGCTCAATTATTTAATTTATGTAATGAAACAGTTGGTCAAAGCAATAATCCAAAAATATGATTGTAATGCTTTATATGTAGATTGAGGCAATAATGTGCATAACTTGGTAAGTGGGGTATGTTTGATTAAAAAAAAGGTTGTATAAGATTTGTAAAGTATTGCTCAAAGTTTCATTTTGTAATGTATATAGTAAGCTACATGTAAAGAGGCTTGACTAAAATTGAAGAATGATGGTAAAACATATATCAATCATGAAGCATCAATATAAAGCAATTGATGCTATTGCTACACTAAGGTATGTTGTGATATTCTTTTAGATGTATTAACATAAAAAGTAGGGGTTTGAATATGAGTAGGTTTGCAATTTTAAATCATTTTTTATTTTTTTAAATTAAGTCATAGATTTTATGTATTAAAAAAAAAAAAAAACATCAGTACCACTTTTACCCTTCATTGGTTGTTTAGGTCAAATTTTCATCCCGTTGCAACGCACGGGTATTATGGCTCGTTTTCCTATATTCATGGTGAAATTTTTGAAATGATTACCAAGACAACGGTAAAAAAACTACCATGTTTGATTATCAACGTTTCTCAAATGCTATTGCTTTTACAGGTCTAAACACCTGCTTAAGACAAAAAATATAAAATGTATTCTGTTTTATAAAAAAATATATACAACAATCAAAGTTAATTATAAGGTTTTAATGACACTATTGGCAATGGGAAATAAAGAAAGATATGTAATTTATTCGAGTTTCTATGATATAATTTTAAGTTTTTTTTGTTAGGGAACAGTTCATTTTATGGTGCTGTTACAATATAATGTAAAAATTTTGTTCATCATTAGTTTATGGTCCAATGACAATAATGGAATCCGGGTTTGGGAACGATCCATTTTGGAATCGAACCTGTGACTTTCAGCTTAGTCTTAGGCCTGCTTACCCTGTGAGCAATCCATTCAAATATATTATATTAAATTTAACGATTAGCTAACTGTACTCATACAGATGAGTGCATTCTCCAGTATTTAAACGTATATGGTAAAATAAACTGTTGCCGTACCAACTTAAGATCTGCCTGAGGGTTTAGAGTACAATGTTACGTATTGAGAATTGTTTTTCCAAGGAGTCAACATTTTAAACTATCTCGATAGCCTATTTGTTTGTAGTTTTTAACAAATGCTTGTAATATGCTTTCGAAAATAAGTTCATTTGATGACAGGGAGATGCATGTCAATTTTTGGAAATTTTCTCGTACTAATATTTACACCATTTTCTGTATTATAAAAGTGTGTATTCACAATGTTTTACTGAAGTTAAAACTATATGGGAGTTTACCTAGAGGTAACTACTGTACTCATATATTATTCTATCGTTGACATTTTATACTCTAAGTGGCCTTTTCATCCTGTTTAAATCACATTAACAACTACAATACTATGAAAGAATGTATGATGTCAACGATAGCATGCTCTATGAACGAGCTGCTGTGTTCCATACTTGAACATTGACAATGCTCCCTTCGAATAAACGTTTGGTGACAGTTGGTCTTTATAGATGGAGTGTGGATATCTATTGCCAAGGCTATTCGTAAATTTATATACATCCAAAAGTGGATTTAGTTTTCTTACAATCCTGGCATGTTACAAATAACTATCAGTGAATTGTCGGATATAAGTAATAAAATACATATAATTATACTTACCCAAGGCGACATCTCATGGGTGTCGGCGTTTCTATGGTGGTAGTTGAGGATGAGGATGGTCGACACCACAGAAGACGCAACCATGAACATTATACAGTTGAAATATGTACCTGTAGGAGCATAAACATGCGTTAGTGTCTGAACACGCCTACAAAACGCGTGGATAACATGCTAGACATGCGGCAAGCAACATGCAGTTAACGAGCTGGTAAGTGGTGAATGTGAATAATCGTGTATGTGGCAAGTAATCGTTGTAGTTTTACCTAAGAAGCTGTTCAAATACGATGCGAATCTCGAACGAAAGAGTTTAAAAGTCGAGCAGACAGAGCCACCTGTGGAGCTCCGTTGCAACTACGTCCGACTTTGCTATTCACAGTACCAGTGCTTACATTCTCGTGCGGCCCCAGCGTTCTATCAATGTAAGCGTGGTAAAACTAACGCGATCTAGGCGGGTCTAAATAGAAGGCACATTGCGGAAAAGGTGAGTTGTTTTCTAAAAGCTGGGATACTTTATAGTTATTTGGGCTAAAATACCTATGCTCGAAGCCAGAGGGGTTACAAACTACAACAAAATTACTCGGATGGCATAATGTAAGGATATGAAACATTAAACACCAAACTGTAATTTTAGCCTTACAACAATCAAAAGAGAGTGCAAACATGAGTTTGGACTGAATATTATTGCACATTCGTTATTTGTGTTCTTCTACAATTTTCGAGGAAGATTTCCGTAATCGATTATACTATATCGATTACCATGCAGTAGCGTTGTTATGTCGTTGTTCTTCATTCCTAGGGTTCATTTGATATTCTGTTATTGTGTTGGATATATCTTTGACATTGCATGTTTGTTTTATTGTCCACCAGTGCCTTCATGCGGATGTTCTCGGGCAGATGTCGAAATCGAGCATTCCATGCGACTCAAGCCATGCCGCAGTACGAGAGAAAGAGATAGAGACAGTAAGAAATAGAGAAACAGACAGTGAGGCAGGGGAGGCACACATCTGAAATCCATACACTTCACACATTAAGTAATGAAATCGAAATAACTTAAAATCATTTGTTATTTTTATATTGAATCGAACAGCATTATAAACGCTTATGTTATTTCCTAGTGACAAAGTATACTGTTTATTTCAGTCGTTAGTTACCACCGTCGTACTGAACGAAACACATACTTTGTCTGTTATATTATTACTTATATTAACATGTATTTATTTATATTGTTACTTGGAGGCAGAGGGGTAAACAGTTAGTTATTGTCTCGGTTTACGTAACATCATATTAAACATTGTTGTTTAAAGGAGTTTATCTTGTCATTAACTGGGAGGGGGAGCGGGTAGGAGAGGAACATGTTTAGTACATATTAAAGTCACTGCGACGGTTACCGTAAAGGTTAACTCCCAGAAGCATGCCAGGTCGAATCCTCTCTTCCATCTGCAAGAAACTAGATTAACTAAATTATCACATCATTAGTTATTCACAGTTTTAGAGGAAGGATAGGTTCGGGGAGGAGCCAGTTTTATTATACAAAGTTTATTAACACATTACAATTCTTACAGTATCTTAAGACTAGTTTGATTTACAAATTTGTCTAAGTTTCGAGTGATTTTAGTCATCATTAGGTATTTCATATAAAAAACGTTTTATCGGTATTGTATGTAAACAAATCATAATTGACGTCACTGAAATACCTAACAACTCTTTAAAAATATTCAACTGGTTTAAATCCAGAACAGTGACTAGAGCATGCTCTCATGCACTTTTATTTAATAATTTTTTATTATATTTGGTTATTTTAGTCATTCGGTTTAGTTTTGTATTAGTCTGTGATATTTATTACTATTTAAGTGCAAAAATAACCTTTTTACACAACAAAAGGCTCAAAGAGACATTGAATCAACTAATACGGAACAAAACATAAAAACATATACCAGGCTAAACAGTGATAGTCAAACTTAAGGAGAACTAGTTACATTTAAAATCAATCATAAGCCACGTTCTATGTACAAGAACAATTTTTTTACTTTCGTTTGGTGCTTTCGTCTACTACGAAAAACAGGGAAGAGATTAAAGATCATGAAACATTTGTGTTATCTTAAGTAGTTTATGATTTCGGTAAAAAAATCACCGTGATTGGACATAACCTGCGAAGTTGAGTATTAAAACGTATGATAACGACTGTTTAAACATACCTTTATATTATGTGTTAATGTATTATTACGGTTGTAAATATTTTCGAAAGGTGGCATTTGTATATAGATTTACATAACGGGTTTATGTCTTATTTAATGTCCGGATCGGTTGAATTTAAAGCAGTTTACCTCAGTTTTAGACATTCAGTTTATGCAGATTATGTCCAGAGGAAAGACGAAAGTAGTTCTAACAAGCAAGGTAGTAGATTTGCTTTGAGCTGACCTAGTAGGGGAATAGCTTCTGATGTCTGCGGTAAAGCATCGGCAATCATGAGTGAAAAGACAGAGAGAGATAGGAGGATTGTGACCCCTGCAACACCAGAACAAAGTTCAGGGTGGAGTCAAGTCTGGGAGGTTCGCGCGACAACCCTAGCTGACTATACTCATCCAGTTATTCGTCTAAGCCCACAACTTATAGCCAGGTAACCCCGTAACACACTCTCATCCATTATGAACGGTATACAAAATTAGTAAGACCTTGATCCTTGAAAATTTGAACCTTTAAAAATATGAACCCGAACATACATTTACCTACTACTTGACATAGAACCTTCATTTGCTCACTACTAGGGTGGTCGCGCGAAAGTGGTGGGGAAACGTGACCAGCGCAGCCTTGATGGTGTCGTAATGAGCAACACATAGCACACACTCCAAATACAAACCATAAAATCACATGTTATGAGAATCGTTCATAAATTGAAAACATGAGCATCCACAACGTTCATAGGCAACGTTGTGCATGCTGTACAAAGTATTTAATATGGTGGCCGGAGCCCTATGGTAGTGATTCATTCCCTGTATAATAATAAAAACATTTAGATGATTAGTTGTGTAAATAAACTTGATATCAAAGATTACACAACCCTTTGATATTTTTGTTTATGTTGATGGTATTTGCTGCTGTAGGGTTTAGTAAATGACTTTAAACTTAAAAAGAAGATATGGGTTTTTAGCGGGAAGTACTGTTTGAATTAGTCTTTTGTGGGGTTTTAAACGATGAATCACCACAGTCTAGGGCGAGGTTTAAGGCGCACCTAAGACTGGCATCGCGTCTGAAACCTGCGGGAGAGTCTCAGCGACCAAGTTATGAAACACTGTCAGGGAAAGCAAGATAGTCACTCCTGTAACATAAAACCAGTTAAAGCACTTGACTTGGGACTTGTCACATTAATTGTTATTGATTGAAAGCCGTTTTAACAGGTTCGTTTATGATATTGTTGTTTAGCTTTGAACTAAAAGTCTTTGTGGGTGGAGAAAGTGAAATATATATTTTGACAGATTAAGATGTTATTTATCAAACTGATTTGTTAGACTGCAACGTAGAAAAACTAAAATTTGTACATTTTGACAAAATATTTCTTTGCAAGTAGACTAATTTTTAGAACTCTCAGTGTTTAAAAGTTTTCGGTTGTGATTCATTCCGAAACGAAAGATGTATATCATCCGTCTAGAGTAGACGCATAATTTTATACAGCTTAACATAAATCTCATTTGTCATTGCAAGGTGATTATAAAAATTAAGCGTGATGATGTAAAAAAGAAAAATATGGAGGGATGTCAATATGATGATGGTAAAGTCCAATATGATTTATTATGATGTAGCTTAGTGACTTTCCGGGAAGTGGCAGACACTGAAGATCTCTTGAAGCCTGAAACATAGGATAGGGAGGGATTAGGGAGGAACCCCGAAATTTGGGAGTAATCCAGAAACTATCAAGGAATTAAAGTGGCTTAGACGCGAACCGCGTTTTGGTCAGTTAGTAGTGGGGTTTTGTGCATTTAGCGCTTTAAAAAATATTACCGAGGGATTATTTTCCGCAAAAGAATTTTATTTGTTTTGATATTTTCCGTGTGGATATCGTTTGCAATGTTAGTTGAGGCAACAAAAAGTAAATAGACACGAGAACATCAAATCGAAACATAAACACACCTGTAGACATGGAACACCGTACTTGCTGCATGCAGAGCAAGGATACAGGTTTTTGGTGCACGATTCCATGGAAATGCCTCAAATATCTAGATCTATTCAACTACATAGTTCCCAAAGACTGACACCCTGGTTTGAGAATTGTGTACGACTCGTAGAAAACTATGAATAAATTTATCTGTTGTGACATTATATGTATCCAATTGTTTTGAAAATTTATATATTCATGCAATTTGTACCGCCTGTATTCCCGTGATGTCCGCTGTGCTTCATCTAAGAGGCTAATAAATACAAAACATGCGCCCGACCTGGTGGAGGAAGGACTTCTGAAGCTTTGAAGTGGGAAGTAGAGTGGCTCACTTCTTCCAGTATATAGAAGCAGAAGTCTTTTCACAGATACACTCATTGCACACAAAACAGGTCCAAAAACCACGCACTAACTGTTTGTTCGAGGCTTGAAATTATCTTCTTCACACAGCCGTTTAAATGATAGATGTTGTCCTTTGTGATATTTAAAGATCGTCTTATTAGCAAGTGTGTTAAGTACATTAAAGGTTTTTGACATTCGTGAGTTCCAATGGTAATCATGGTCCATTCACAGGTGAAAACAAGATACAACCTCGCTACAACACTTTAAAACTATTGTATGTATTAGCTTATTTAAATACTTAGAGGCTACAAAGGCTGGAGACTTACACCAAACTCAATTTGTTAGGAAAATATAATTAGTGTAATTAACAATACATTTAAATGAGTTGATGTAAAAGCTAAAGAAATATGTCTCGGGCGGAATTCACAGCTTTAGGTTGCATGAACAAATTACAAGAAAAAAGAAAGAAAACGACTTTATGTTCATTGATACACGTGCGATATTTATCTTTATATTTTATTAATCTCTGAATAATTTATTTCTTTTAACTGCCAACCAATATTAAAATAACCAAACTCATAAAACATTAAATAATCATGACTTTTCTTTTTCATTTCAAGAAACTCCATAAGTTCAATTAGTTTTAGCTTTTTAATTGACAACAGTAGTTAAAACGTTTCCAAATAAGAGTGAAGTTTATCCAATCTATGTTTATCCATTATTTGTTATTTATAACGTTAAACATGTGTTTGTTTTTAATGTAGGCTATCTTTTGGAGCTTTTGAAGTAAATGGTAGCTATTGCTGTACAATAAATATGTACCGCTGTTGCAGGGATGGAGCCCAATTTGTTTTTGATTTATAAAAATTATTTAAAAAAATACTAGTGAATACCCAATTTACTCAATTCTAATCAAATTAGGAAAATCAATACAACATACAACTTATTTTCATACGATAAATGGAAAATTATACCTCGTCACTGCCATATAACTGAGGTAGGTTTTAATCATGAAAATTAAACGAACACTAATGAAATACTACATTAAAGCCAAATTCTATATAGAATAATACTTAGTTTAAATGTATAAAACAGCAAAATAGAAAGAACGAGATGTTTTACATGTAGAACCAATATTTTCGAGAATAATTTCAATCAGTATAACCTAGGAAGGTTCTTTATTATCGTTAAATATATCATGATTTTACTCCACTAAAATTATTTAAAACTATGTTTTCTTTAGATTTAATTTAAAATGTATTACATTTTCAAAAGTTCACATGGACGTTTTTCCATTAACGTCTCACTCCAACTGATTCAGTCTTGGCCTAGCACATGAGTATTTCCTATATTCAATATTAAAAATGCAATAAATCAGTCATGGCTGAAAACCCATCATATATTAGCAGTAAATGGTGTATATTTTTAATATTAATAGTTTAATAATTTAGTTTGATTAAGAAGTGTTAAATTAATATTGTTTCCAATCAACTATTTTTAAGAAGAACTTATGAATGAAAAAGTCATGGTATTAAAACAAACTAACACAATATTACAATGGGATCTCCAAAGTTAAACTTAATTTAGAACTTCATTGCAAGGCATAAAATAAGTGCATAATAGTTCTCGTAATGTAATGTTGATTTCATTAGAAAGAAATAATTCGTTGTCAATATTGTCATCAACTAGCTTTATAAAGTCTCTTCTTGGCAACTTGATTCCAGCCTTTCACCTAAATGCACCCAAAAAGGTTGAAGTCCCATTTCTTTCCCTTGCAGCTTCTTACCTTTCCTTCTGTTCCACAGAGCTGTAAAACTCGGCACACAATATACAAATATACATTTAAATTTAGAGTGTACAGACTACTTAAATTACTTTACACATTAGTAATTTAAGTTGTTATTTAAATTGGTCATTTACTTAGACACTGACTCTTTCATTTTCGACTGTTACTAACACTCCAACCAGGGTCCCAGAAAGCTCTACTTTGGGAAATATATAGTCGAACAGAGGCGATGCATAGGCTACAGATGCAATATGGGGTAGCACTACATTCAACGAGCTAGAAAATCGCAAATTCCAAATAGTAAAACATGTCGGACGGAAAATATCAGGAACAGGTGAAAGAGGACCAAAGAATCCAAGGCAATTTGGAAAACGATCGGAAGCTGCGTGAAAACCCAACCCTCTGCGATCCAAGTAGCAGTTAGGGGAGTTAAAGGGGTACAACACATACTACGTGTTACCTATAAGGGGGCGCTCTGACGTCGGGGGCATAGTCTCTGCCACCATGTTTAGGAAAAACGTTAGAGAGAGCAACACGGTGACATCTAGAACAAACAGTTGTAGTTAGGAGAGGATAGAAGAGGGGGGGGGGGACGACAAGATAGATACCCCTGATTGGGACTGTAAGTGTTTTGCCCTCTGCCTCCAAGGGTCGACTAGAGGCATACCTAGCAGGGGCACGGCGTCCGAAGTCGCTGGCATCGTTTCAGCTACCATGTTTAGAAATACGGTCAATGAGAGTAGGATTGTCACACCTAAACAACAATATCCGTTCAGATTTTTAACACAGTTTAATTATTTGAAAGCTTTTTATGTGGTTTACGAGGAACCTTTATTATCGGTTTAAACTTAAAATAATTAATATATAGTTTCCTGTATATAATAATGTGATTAATACTATAATATAGGAAAACTAATTTTGAGGGTTGTTTTAGGGATCTCATAGTGTAAATCTTTTATCTAACTAGTGGACTTAAAAAAAAAAACTCTTTCATGAATAAAACAGATTGAAATCCATTACTGGTTTGCTGCAAATTAAATTGCTTGGTCATCCGGGTCATCGTTATAGTAATAAGGTTTATCGTTATTTTCATGAGACCAGGAACACATTCCATGGATTTTCCTAACCTATAAAGGAAGTGGGGGTAGAAACATAAACTGTAAAAATAAGCAAAAAATTTGAAGTTTTGTAAATATCTCAATTGATAGCAAAATATAAGGTAATGTAATAAATTAAATACATGATAAAATTCCATTACTGATTAGCATTTGCGTAGACAACATTGTCTTTCAATAAAATTGATTTGATCTTAAACTGATTGGATTTATAATTCATTTACTTCTCGAGCGGTAATGATTAATTGATTAACACAATTCCAAATAGCGTGTTATTTGTTGTCTGGAATTTCTTAAGCAGCTTGCAGAGAAAAATAATACTAAAGGAGTTTGGAACTTAGGATGGGAAGGACTAAAGGAATCTACCTTTTTTTCTATTAATTATATGTGATATCCCTTTCCCCACATGAACGGTCTTTTTTATTCTTATAAACAACGCTATTATGAAAAGTAATATTTTTATATTGGCAAGATATATTTACCCTCCAATTTCAAAGCATTACTTTGCGACATAAACATTTATTATAAACTGTCGGAAAGATACAGATATGATTTGGATTAAATTCGAATAACTCAAATGTAACAATTGCATATGCAATCCACATTAGAAGATTTAAATAAGATCTATTGTACCTACCTATTTTATCTTCCATATGTTTACTACTAATTTTACTTGATTTTACTGAATCGAAAGAAAAATTAAGTGCTATAAACGATGTTATGTTGACTATTTATAATGACTTCAAAGTTTCAAACAAAGTTACTAGAGGACAATGTAAAAAAGTGCAATTAATTATGGACAAATTGGGGTTTTTAACAGTCATAATCCTCTTTTAATTTATGGAATAAATAATGAGTAATTAGCTAGCCTAGTGGTTAGCGTTAGAACTGCAGTGCGAGGTAGATGGATTTGATCTTGGTACATTTATCTTTGAGATCACATTCCCTTAAAATCCTTAGTAGTTGCTTCATTAAAAATTATCCTGGTCATGACACTGACCGCAACAGTAATGCGTTGAAACTGGAGGCGTAAAAGCTGAAAATGACTACCTAAAGTAAGCTTTTCGCCACACTCGTGGGGGAGCGTGAACCCCAAAAGGGTCATTGAAGATATCATGACGCAGGGCACGATCAAGTTGACGGTGTAGAAGAGAGTCCTTCGGCGAATAAGGATGGCGAAAGTTATGTCCACGTAGGGCTCTGGGCAGCAGGCGTAGTTCTTCACGTTCTTCACTCCAGGCATGCCTGCAACAATCACAGGAACCCGGCCCTCGTGATAACACCAATCAAAACCTGACGGAATCATCATCGACATCGCAACATTTTTGAAAAAGAGAATTGTTCCAATGCAGCTCCCCTGAGGGATGCCATGGCGGCTTTCGCTTTGCTTCAAAGTATCTTTATTGATCACCTCGCCATCGTCAGGTTTTGTGTCAATCCTTATGGCTAGATAAGATGTAAAAATGATAGTGTGAATGTGTTACCTAAAGATAGCTTTTCGCCCGAGTCCGGTGGCAGTGTAAAGCCTAGCACGGCCATGGAAGCGATGAGTACGCACGGGACTATTAGGTTGAAAAAGTAGTAGAGAGTCCGTCTTCTAATCATTATGATAAAGGTGATATCAATGTAAGGTTCTGGGCAGCAATTGTAGTAAATTTCGTTCCGTTTTCCCGGAACACCTGGAATAGGAAGGGACGCTAAAGAGGATGAACAAAACAAGCAGATAGACTTTTATCATCACTATTAGCATACATGTTCATTCATTTGTTTTAACAGTTTTGTTTAAAGAAAGATCTATGGTTTGGTTTAGTTAGTTTTTTTAGCATTTAGTTTTAGGAAAGCCACTAAGGTTTAGCGAGTTTGGTTACAGGTCTAAGAGGAGAAATCAATTTAAATTGGGAGAAAGGACGGGACTGTAGGACGGAGAGAAAAAGAGAGAGAGTGTGTGTGAGAGAGCCGATGTTGGACATATTGATTGCCGCCTGCCACCGGTAACTGCTGCTCCTTGCGGCTTTCCTATGAACTAAACTTGAACATCAATTTAATATAGACTGTTTAATTAAGGAAAAAACTCGAAATGATTGATTTGACTTAGAGTACGTGTTACGATAGAGTGACAGATCGAATTTTTGAAAATTACAAAACATGTAAATATGTGTTTAGTTAGAACAAATATCGTCCAAAGTTTTTATACTTCGTATTTTTGATCAGGTGAAAAGTGTAAATTATTGTATTAGATCTGTATTACACGCCCTGCCGTGATATTATACAGTGTAAACTATTTTCGTTTTTAGAAGTACTTTATGATTTTAATTCTAACCCGTAAAAATGTATCTGTGTTTATTGTATTTATACGAATGAACATGAGCACCCCATAAAACATAAAATCTTTAAATTACATTACAAATGTTTGGACTGGTTTAAACTACTTATTAATTTATGTTTCAGAGGGTGCTTTTTAAACACAATTCTTACTACATATAAAACTAAAGAATGCACTTATGTTCCTAATGTCATAACTGCATTCTCGTAGGTATTCTGAGTAAAACAATCACAGTATACATAATGAACTATTTACATCTGCACATAAATTAAGAACCTCTTCATTTCCCTACAACTATACCTAATTAAAGTATTTAATACTTCCGTCGATATGCTTGTATGTTTTTCTATTAGCCTACCCAGACAAATACAATGAGGCTATGACAAAAATTAGATATTCAGTTGTCTTTAAATATTTCGCTGAGGCAACATCTTAACTACTCGTCATCATAAAGTTTCTTTATTAGTTCTACATTTTATCGAATTTTTCGTGTGTAATGGATTTACAAAGGTACATAGAAAATCAATATGCTCAATCTGATGTTTTCAATTTAAAAAAAAATTATTGGCACTTAGTTAAAGGAATAAAAGTAAAAACTATCCAATCCCTTGTAAACATGTTAAACAACTTTTAGTTTGTTGTGTAGTTATTACTTTGTTGTAATGCAATTATTTTGAATCGTACCAAGATTTAAATTGGACTATAACCAATCAATCTTTTGGAATATTTTACGGAGAAATTGCTGATTTTGAATTTTTGGAGGAAAGATTTTAGACTAATGTTGGGATTAAAACCTTCAAAGGAAACTGTAAAAAATATAAGGTAAGATAAAAGGTGAGTTCAGAGATGCTAGAAACATCGTATTTCATGATAGGGCGATGTTTTCTGCTTTTAAGATGTAGTTAAGGTTATCTCTTTACTTTAGCTTGTTACCGTGATTTTTGTGTACATGATTTGTAATTTACATTATACTGTAAAAATATTGATTGTCTTTTACTCTTAGTTTAAGCCTACCAATAGATTGTGTCGTAAAATATATTTTTAATAATTTATTTCTACGATTCTGTTATTAAAAATTCTAAGAGCTTGCTTGAATATGTGATATAAATATACTTCTCTTCAAAATTATAGCTATACTTACAAGTAAGTTATTAAAAATGGGTTATATCTTTTTCAATTTTTTTTTACTCACTTATTTTGCAAAAAAATTAGGCTTGCAACCTCAATACAAAACCCAGACCGCAAAGAGCTCATGAAAACTGTACTTTGTTATTCTAAGTAATACTTGTATAAAAACCCTCTTACCTATTAATTTTGTAAAAAACATTTAACCTAAATTCCAAATATAACTCAAACAAAAGATGTATAATATTTGTCAGTTTTCATTTCTATCCCAACTGATATTTAGAGGCATTCATTAGAGTTATCTAGGTAAAACATACAATATGTAACTTGTCTTGTGCATTTAGTTAAAGCTGCTCTCGTATATAGATTTTGTGAAAAAAATCATGCAGCCATATCACACCAAAGTGTTTATATATAATAAGTTCCCCAGAATTATCCTCCTGACTAACACTTTTGTTTCAAAAAGCTAACATGACTATACGCTGTAAATAAGCTTCCCTACGTTCAGTTGAGTCAAGAACTCCATAGAAGTTACAAGTGATCATGGAGCTCTTGGTAACAAGACTTTGGGCCTTGGTAACCAACTTGCCTAACTATAGTTAGGCAAGTCCTGGGCTTCAGGAATCTTGTTACTCTGCCAGCTTACCTAGGAGATCCCACTCCCCATTGGTTATAAAACTGCTGATATCCCCTCCACCATCGTCCTGCAGCTGAAGATCCAACTGAAAACATTTTCAAAACATTAACAACTGAGTAATTGATTTACAATATCTCTGTAAGAATATTTCATATTTCAACAGTTGTAAAGTTATATTTATCCTAAAGTTACAAAGATCTAATGAAGTGCAGATTCTGATTCATAATCCACATTTTTATATATAAAACTAATAAATTTAAAAGCATAGATCCATTTTTGACCCACTGCGTTTTTTACAACATGTAATCTACAGTCCCTATTATCTAAACTCCTGTGTTATATTATTTAACAAATTCAATACTATTAAAAAAGTTTTTGATTTATTCAAGTAAAATAATTGCTAAAAAAGTTAAAAATGAATATTTTTTAAGGTTTAAGTCGGTGTGATTAAGCATGTTTGCAATATTATAACAATCAAAACTATTTATGAATGGAATTCTAATAGTATTTTAGTATTTTATTAGTATAATAAATCATGATGATGTTGTTATAAATATTTTTGTCCAAAAGTTTAGTTTCAAAAATACCTTGTCCTTAAAAAAAAGGTTAGGTGGTATTTGTTATTTTTCAAAACATAAAGTTATGATCGTTTTAGGTTAGAAGCGAGTAATAAAAATATTGAATGATGATAGAAAATAATATTAAGAAAACCTAAAGGAACTTTATTCAGTTTGAGCTATTGGAAGTGTATAAATAAAGGAGTTATTTACTCGTTCTTCATATACCCTACAAGAAAAAAGTGTAACGGGGCTTGTGTTGAATGGAAAATACTAATTTACTTTTTATGAATTCATTCACAAACTATGACAACAACTTTATTCTATCAAGTTAAAAATATTTAAAACAGATATGCGTTCAACTCAAAACCCGGAGACATTTTTTCGTAGTATGGATCATAAGGTGATAGATAAAGTTACTAAAGCCATTAAATAGTGTTATGCATGGATGAAATTAAATATTTGATATCACATCGCCCCCTTAGAAATACATACTCATCATAGTAAGATGATTATTTTAGTTTATCCATTATGAGCAAAACATATTGAGCAACGTTCGAAAAATTGTTTCTAAAGGAAGCAACTGTGATATAATAAAAAAAGTAACAATCACGCTTTTTAACAAATACTTACCTCACAGAAAATTTGTATCTAATACATTATTTCTCTTCTACATATGCCTGTCCACATTTATTCTGTACTACGAATGCTTTAACATTCAATCATCAAGCCATAACTAGAAAGCTTGTGTCAAATATGTATATGCTTATGTGACTTTATTGTTGTCTGCATAAGGAGTTGGATAAAATTGGAATGTGGAACGTATATTAAGTTGTTTGTGTAAGACTTAGAAAATTATGGTAATTTTTGGATTAACTTGCACCTTTTGTATGTTTGAGGAAAATATGTGGCGGTATTGAAGTTGTTAAAGTACATAAAGAATTTCACGAAATCTAATTTATTTAATATAGTTTTCAGTTTAATTCATAATGCACATAAGACTAAAGAACTTTATTTACTTGTAACTTGTATCTGGTTTTTAAGTACTTCGTTTCGTTTCCCTAAGTAAAAAAAAATCATCAAAGTCATGCCCTTTTCATAAAGTTAAGTTAGTTTTATATCTTTGACGTTTAATACAAGTGGACAGCCCATTCCCATGTTAAAGGGGAAGCCAGTTTTAGAATACACATTGAAGTACTATAGTAAAATGAGCAACCACGAGAGTGGTCTGATCAAATATTGTACCAAACATAATTAATTAGAGGACAAATTCGAAAGACAGCATCACACTCCGTATCTGGATCAACCAATGATGTCCAATTTGCATAAAAACATCAGTCACAGATCCAAATGAAAGGTATATCTACTTATTAAAAAATAAATGACAATGTATAATTCATACATAGGATCAGTATCACCAAAAGTGGTTGGCAGCTGATCCTAAAGATTCAAACACAAATGCAAAATATTGGATTCCAGCAAATGACTGATGAGGACAAGACCCACAGAAACTTCACGTCACAGAGAAGTAAGGAACAGAGGATACACTCCATGCTACACTTAAGTGGTGTCTAGCACTAGTCCTGGTGTATAGCACTAGTTCTGGTGTCTAGCACTAGTCCTGGTGTCTAGCACTAGTTCTGGTGTCTAGCACTAGTCCTGGTGTCTAGCACTAGTTCTGGTGTCTAGCACTAGTCCTGGTGTCTAGCACTAGTTCTGGTGTCTAGCACTAGTACTGGTGTCTACCACTAGTCCTGGTGTCTACCACTAGTTCTGGTGTCTTAGGACAAGTCCCAACACTACCCTCCTCACCATCATGTACTACAACGCCTACGGCCAAGGAAGACATTTTGTCCCGATAGGAATTTCCGCACAGTGCTCACCGTTTGAACTCTTCCTTGCCACAAGTACATTTCCGGCACTAGAGCTGAAAGTGCACTGATAAGTGTTCCTCTGTACCTTACTTATCTGTGTTCTCCTTCACGTTTACTCATACCCTACCTTACGCATGCTCTACCTGAAATCCATCATAGGTCCAGCTACCGAACTTCATCTCGCACTTCTGGTCGTCAAAGGGAAACCAGGTAATGTCAATCTTGCAAGTGCTCTTGAAGATGCCAGGAGGGACGTACAGACAGCTTCCGTTGTTTCTGACAACAACGTTGGTCGGGTAAGTGCCGTCGAACCCCTCGTCGGCACTGGACAAATAAAAACCCCGGGTAAGTCAGCGTACGTCACTCGCACTTCCAAAAAGGGTTTGGGCCGATCCCTAAATTGTGTGGTGTGAAAGTTTGCGTGTGGGTAGTTAGGGTGATGACAATGTAAGTAACTAGTAGAGTTTAATTTTTGGTGTCCGCGTCGTTGGTTGGTGATTGCAGTCAGACGGTTCGTCACGTTTAAGATTCACGTTTTGTAATTAAATTGAGATGTATTATCTTTAGTAGCCAGGCTGATTCTCGGTGTTGCCTGTCCAGGCAGTTTTAAATATGACGTGTGAATGTATCATGGAAGTAAAGATAAAACGTCTAGGAAATAATCACCAAATGACAACGCCGTTGACACCGATCACAAATTTAGATTGTACTTACACCGGCTGCAAAGATCCTACGAATAAAGATTAGAAAAGACGTAATCTTGACGGGAATATTTGTGCAGTTAGCCTCTAAGCAGTGTAGATTTTGATCCAACACTATTTCAATAATGTAGTTAAGTAAGTGGAGAAGCCAACTTCTTTCTCGACTTCAGTTGATTCTGTATTAAATTTTCATGAGAGTGACAAATGCTAGGGTTTTCATCCTATTCAAGGATTGTAATTGTATATTTACTGTAAAACTTTTACTCTTTGTGGTCTCAATATACTCCAACTGTACGTAAATCAGTTCTTAATTTTCAACGGAAAACGTTAGTTTCTATTAAGATCGTTTGCTTTCGGCCATAAAAATCCTATATTTTTTGCAAATTAGATAGATCTAAATGTAATTGAATACTTGATTTTCAGTTAAGTGGTTGTCATCACACAAAATACTTTCGTCGTCGTCGAGTTTCAGAATAAAGTCTTCAGTTATCACAAAAACTGTAAGTTTGTTTTGTATACTAAATGAGGATGGTTTCAGTCCTTCAGTTTCAGCAGGGCTATGCCAAATTTGACAATTCTAGGTTGTAAATTTGTGAGATAATGTGATCATCTGCCAGTCAGAGAATTTTCCTTTTTGTGAGTATTAAAATAAGATTATTAAATGAAATCATAAATTTTGTTATTATAATTGTATGCAATGTTGTTGTAAACAATTTTGGGCGGAATCTAATAGAGTTAGCATTCCATCAGTAAACTTTAAAATGCAGAGGTAATTTGAGCTCTTACTATTTGACTGTCAATATACAGTATAAAAAAAAAAAATAATTAAAAGCTTTGGAGACGGCAAGAAAGGAGATAGTTTGGATTAATCAGCGTCATTGTTATCCATCTCAAAACTTGAAACATTTTGACCAGTTTTAAGAATAGCTAAAAGGTAGTTGCACACATAAATTTCTTGATCCGCAAACCTTTATAATTCTTCGTGAAGAATTAAAAAAGATGATCGATTCAGAACTTAAGTTCCTAAAAAACTACTTTAAACATATCGAACAATTCCCAATAGTTTTTTAGTGGAATAAATATATATTTAATACTGTCTCTAACAACCTTGTTCCAAAAGGCTTGAAATGAAACCTTTAGTGATATTTTTTTGTTAGCACGATTCTCCCTTAGTAAGTTATAACAGATAATTTCCCTTCATGATACCTGTCAAACATTGACTGGTGAAATGCGAGTGACGCCAAGATCGTTAAGAATGTTGAGGAAATCTAACACCAAAACAGGCGGGAAGAGGTCATAAGGAACATGCATAATGATCGGAGAAGTACTGAAAAGTCTACAAAAACTCGTGTAAAATATCATCCAATCATAGTCTACATATTATGTTTATGCCAAAATTATATTCATCATAAGCTGTTCTTAAATATTGTTTTATACTTTTTCACCAATAAAGGTGTTAAAGCTGTTGTTTAACTACAAACTCGTGAGAAATATATAGAAGATTAAAGTTAAACCCCTCATTTGAATGTGCTTTTCAATTATTATAGTCATGAATGAGATTTCAAAAGTAAAAGTAAGAATTTGTAATAAATTTATGGTGTAATAATTAATAAGTCCTTTATAGAAACATTTTTATTTTTTGCTGTAGTAAGTGATTATATTAGTGTTAAACGTTTTTTTAAATGGTTATTTATAGACATTAAAAGCCATGTTATTCTTAAAATTGTATAATCTCGATGAATCATAAGACTTTATTTACCAATATTAAAGAAAAATGATTTACAAATGCATTAAAATTCGCTTCAATCGTTATATTTTAAGTTGCGTCTTACAATACTTAAAATCATGGTTAAAAAATTGGATCCAAACATTTCATTAATTAGTTTTAGTTTAAAAATTATAGCTTAAACATTGATAAACTGAGTACCCTTTTAAGCATAAAGTTATTTATTAATATACTGACCAGGTTTCGACAATTAGGCCATTTTAAAAGATTTTTCGGAAGCTGGCCAGTATATTATTAAATAATTTTATGCTTAAAAGGTTACATCACTTATTATGTTATAATGTTCAATCTAACTTCATATGAAATAGCCCTATGACTCTGCTTTTCAAACTTAAACCTATATTTTGCAAAGAAAAATATATTTATCAAGATTTAAGAAACACCCATATTAGGAAAAAACCCGGATTGGTTTGTCATTCAATAAAGGTTCCATGTTCTTATGGGCCAATTTTTAAATTTAAGAAATGTAATAAACATTCCATAAGTTTTCTATCACAGTAAAAAAATGGATCAAAGTTCTGCAAAATGTAAAAATTAAATTGTTATCTTGAACTTGGAGTTTTACACAATAAAATACACACACACTACCATTTAACTCGGTGTAAAATTTGTGTAACGTAGGCCTAAATGGAGTTTTAGTAAAATACAAAAATAAAAAATCATCTACCTTTAGTTATTTTCAGCCTATAGTTATGTAGTGAAAATGATTCAACTTATTCTTCTTAACATAATTATATTAATCTTACATAGTATTTTACAAATGATTTATTTTTATTCTTTTCTACATGAAACGTAGGCGATCTTTTAGCTTAAAACAAATTTAAACTACCAACAAATACACCAAAGAAATTCAATTTAATAAATGAACTAAATTAACATGTAAATCAAATTAATTTGAATTTAAAATGTTTAAAATATTGAAACATTGTGTTTTTAATGCCCGTAGGCCAAAAATAAAAATGTCTTTAACAGCAGTTTTATTCTAGATCAATTACTGATTACCTGTATGTAATACAAACTCAAATCTTATTTTAATAAATTTTACAAGAAAACTGAAGAAGATAAGAAATTTTTTTATAATTGTATTTTCAGAATATAAAATCAAATTGTTATGTTTTTTAAATTGAGAGCCATTTTAAGAAGACTTTTTTCGGTACTAAAAACTACATTTTTCATCATTTCTTAAAGTGAAATTAATTAAATTAAAAATATAGGCTAGATAAAATTTTAAAATACTAACATTTTTTATGAAGTTATTGAAACAAAAATAAATAATTAAAACTACAATACTTGAATTTTAATGTTTAAGCATTTGCATTAAAGGAAGTTACGGAATAGGAACGTGAAGATAGGATCGAATGTGGGAAATGATAGTATTTGGAAGCTACATACTATTTATTCGTTTTGATTAAGGGTTGTTTTAATCGGGGTTTATTCGCACCAAGAGGTTGAAACCTGGGTTTCGCCCCCACAATGCTGAAGTTGTCAGAACAACGTTAGCATCTGTCCGCCTCGAGGCGATTAGTGGTTAGTTGTGTTGATTAGTAGAGAGTAGAAATCTGAAAACATACTTGCCAAATGTTATTTATTTCGGGCTACACTTTAACACATGACCGTTTGCTGTAATATTTCAGTTTACGTTTTTAGTTTTGAATTGTTTATCTGAAATATTACAACTGACGTGTTTGTTTATCGTTTTGTTTACAGTGTTTACATGTAGAAGCGAGGAGAGGAGTATTCGCATGCAGGAGGCGTGCAGGGCAGCAGTTTAGGTCCAAGCTTGTTTCTATGCTAGCCACTGAATGTGCAACTCAGACTGATTTAATACGTTTTTGAAAACAAAAACAAAATGCAAAGTCTTATTCTATTAATATTGTTTTAGCATGTTTCCAAAAAAACATAAAAATGAAATTGGTCTATAACTGTTAGAAGAATACTTTAAACCTCTTTTGGAATTTCGAAGGTTAAAATTACGTTTTTACTTTGTTAATATTTTTTTGAATCACAAACTTATAGTGCTCAACAAGCTGGGAAGGGTGGTTTACCTGTTATACATCAGCACGTCTGGTTTCCATATCCTGTGAGGTGGTATTCTTAAATCTTTGACGCCTCCGTATTCTGTTGAGTTCCACCTGAGATTGACATCGTTCCATTCCTAACAACATGAAAAAGTGTGAGAAATCTGGTAAAGAATATGGCAAAGTCCAATTTTAATTTGAAAACAATATGTCTTTTTTACAGAAAATACTATGCTTAGGCATACACGTTTCTCAAATCTGGATATTTTGATATTTCAAAGAAAAAAGTAATGCAAATTGAGCTTCTATTGCATCTATTGCAGCATATTAAAATTAATGAAGTCATTGCGCATATGAATGGATGATAAACTACAGTTTACTATGTATTTAATCAAATAGTAATTGACACAAAATTTGATAAAAAATTGTTTCAATTTAAATAAACATCTTCCTAACTAAACCATTGTAATATAATATTATAAATACCTTCATGAAACTACTTTACTGTAAAGTTGTCCCTATTTACCATACAATTTTTCATAGCTCTGAATAGGTGTTCATTTGAATCTTATAAATATCAATTTGGGAATAAAACATAAATATTCCTTTAAAAAATATATTTTAAATACTAATTAATGGAGTGGACAGTTACTTAGACATTCGTGCAAAATAATATTGTAAGTTTATTACACGAGGAAATTTAGTTTTAAATGTTAAAACAAAATCAGTTTTTATTAAAAAATAATACTTCAAATTGATTTAATTGATTGTTGTGCACACAAGTCAAACAATCCAAAACTGTTACAATTAAAATCCACTCTAGTGTAAAAATGTAATGTTAGAACTACTTTTAAATTCTGAACACAAAGACATTTCTTATTATTTCGTAAGAACACGCTTGGCAAATCTTCTAAATGTAAAATTAAAATTTGAGCCACTTACCTCAATCGGTATTGTCAAAAGAAATACACATCTAACAATCACAATCATTACACCACATATAAACGATCTTAGTGCTGCAATCTCTTAACATTGGTGCATGTAAGAACATTAGGAAATATTCACTCCAATTATTCATCAGAAAATTACAACAAACAGCTACCATGACCCAAAAATCTCTCCATATAACAAAGAAAGTGTTTTCATACATTTCATGATGTATATTGAATATGTTAAGGTGTTCTTTGATATAGTATATTGTGAAGATGTATGCAGCGTGAAAACAATTATATAAAGCAGACACAAATCAACAAAAAGTAGAGGAATGTGAATATGAAATAGGCGTGATAATATTTCATTTTAATTTATGATTTACATCTTATAACTATGTACGAGATGATTACATAATTATTTGAGTAGCTAAATAAATTGACACAGTATTGGAATCAGTTTTAATAGTGATTTACAAAAATAATTATTTTTTATTTTTTGTTTGCATTTTAAGAGCTTTAAGCACGTTTATACAACGCTTAAAACAAAAGTAGCAAATCTTTATCTTTTTACTGTCCAATAATGTATATGTTAAAAAGAATGAAAAGGGAAACTAATTCAAATCTAAGATTTAATTTCTAAGGGGGCAAAACACAAAGAAAGGATTTACTGTTTTGAGGAGTATACTACTTTATGAAAAAAACTCGCTATTAATTTTGTATAGGAAAATTATGAAAGAAAATATATTAAAATTCGAATAGATAAATATATTAAAAATTACGATTCGAACTAAACACATAAATTTTAGGTAAAACGGAATAGTAATTCTAATTGAAACAAGACTAAATCATTGAAATATAGTTAACTGCAACACAATATGTTCAATTAAACCCTCATTTCACAAGAGTTGTAGTCTATACTTTTGTAAAAATTTAGTAATGGCATGATTATTTTGACAACCAACTCAATTGAATAATACTTAACAAATACAACTTTTTTGAAAAGTAAAAATTGGTCCGTACTTTACACATAATTTACATAAAATATTTAAATTTATTCCGCCTTTATACTTTATTCTGTGATTTATCAGGTTGGTTTAGAAAGTGGTTTGAGTGTAAAGTGTAGAAGAGAGCTACAACAACACAGTCGTGACGTCATCAAAGCCGGGAGTCATGCATCAGGACCATGCTCGAAGATCAACTCTCATCGGTTTACATGTTGTTTAGTAAGTCTTTTATCAGTGTAGATGTTAGGTTCTGCAGGTTTATCGTGACGACTGAGGGTGTTTAGTCAGTTTAGGGGGTGATTCTCTGCCCGAATGAGGGGAGGAAGCATGCCCGGGTACATACAGCTAGAGAGAAAAAAAACAAACAGATCCCAGACGTGTCGGGGTATTTAGATGTGTTTTATTAAATTTAAACACAATTTAAATTCAACAGTTTAGGAATATTTAAGTAGATTATTTTTATTTTTCGTTTTAAAACAACTCAAGTGTTAAGTCCCAGCAGTTTATATCTGGGCATCGTATTTGTTTTTTCCTCTGTTGCGACAGTAATTTATTAGTTTTTATTAAAGTTTATAGTTTATTGATCGACTTACCAGTTTTAACCAAATGTTTGTTATTAGTAGCTGATTCTTCTCATCCTATCAAATCCATGCACAAAAAACAATGCGATTAATAAAGGGGCACACCAACATAGTCACATTCTGGACGGCGAACCGCGGCAGCCCCCGCGGTATCCAAAATTGGAATGCTCATCAAAGAATCCACAAAAATGTTCTAGGCAATGGAAATGGTGTAAATAAAAACAACTGTGACATTACAGAGGAATAAAATACTCATTGTGGATTCATCTTGTAAGAATATGAAAATTGAGAATATGAAACAATTTCAACACTGACGCCTAAAGTCTCTGCCGAATCTCCAAGTCTTCAAACGTGATTGTGACAAGAAAGTTGGTGTGCTCAATAGACTCCAGGCCTGTGGTACTAACGACTAGTATATATATATAGTACTGTGTGGACTGCCGCGTTCCCTCGACCTTGCATACACTAAGACATATTACACATCCACATTGGTACGACTGTACCACGCTCTGTGGCTGAAAGCAAGAACTAATGCCTTGCCCACATCTTTCAACACACTTACCAAGTTTAACCACGCGTTTGTGGTAACTATTTGATTCTTTTCGTCCTGAAAATCAATTATTTCCGGGATAAATCACTAACATTTTAGAACCACATAAAAGGCATTCGTATTCTAAGCTCACACTAACAGTAAAAAGATCTGGATGTGAAAAAATGACGAGATTTTTTAAATTTGGTGTACTCGAAAGAAAGGTGTCAATGAGAGTTTCTTTAAAATTGGAGAAATGGGAATGGCTATTATTTTTGACCCATTGTTGGTGCTAATTTAGTAATAACAAATTTTTCAACCGAACAAATATTCTCGATTCTACGATTTTGTCTTCGTTGGATATAAATAGAACTTAAGTGTGGATTTATATTTTGGATAACACAATATGCTTAAAAATCATATATAGAAATGTAAAAAAATCCCTAGAATACCAAATAATAATCATATCGTCAAAAAACACGATTGTATACCTTAATCATATTTTTAAATTTGAATACTATATATTTCATAATTTAATATCACATAATTGGTGAGGGTAGAAATTACACAAGATATTAAAGCCTACTTAGCTTAAAATAGGCACCTCGATTTTTATAGAAAGTACATACTTGTGCTCCGTAAAGTACGAAATGAAAACACGAAGATTTAAAGTGTATTCTATCAATATTCTTTGTTACAGCTGTAGTGCTTATGATAATTTTTAGGAAAGTGTACACGGACAAAAGGAAACCAAGCATAAGCTGGAAACAGTCTCAAGCACTCGTATTATTTACTCGGTTTATTCAGGGATTTGTTTGAAAAAGTGGAGATGAAAACGGCTGACCACCGAAATGTGATGCAGAAGACGAAGCAAGCAAGATTGATCGGCGAGACGCCAGCAGGATCAGCTTGATGAATAGTGTGGCTCAAAGATGGCGTCGCTAGTCTGGGCACGTTCTGACAAGAACACGCTTCCACGCGCTCGAGCCTAGCAGGCCCGAACATGTATGAACACGTTTTAGCATGCTGCCCCACGTGGCTGTAATTGTGAGATTTTGAATTTTTGTGAAAGAGTAGGAATGTAAAGCGCATCAGTACCATATACATGTGTGTTTAAAAATTAAGTTTTAATGCTCTTACGAAATGGTTTGTTCACTCTCTACAACTCTAAGATATTTTCGGTTAAGAAATCAACGATACATAATTTTGATCGAAAAATGAAACTAAAAGGGCTCGGTTTAAGTGTTTTGGAAGATTTTTTCTTTTAGGCTTATTTGTTCAAATTTGATACTTCAATAGTGTAATACTTAAATTGTGCAACGGCCTTTCCAGTAATCGTTTGTATTGAACAGGATAGGTACCTATTATTGATAACGTTCAGTTAATTATTTCGTTTCAGTAGTGTTGTGAATGAACTTTTGTTTACAGAATAGTCAATAGTCAAATACGTATCAAACAATTATGGTAAGACGTCAGCATTTTTTCTCATCAATGTTTTGAAAACGAACACCTTACATCACGCAGTGCTATTGGCACTTCAAAGCAGGCAAAGAATTATATAAGTAAAGGAAAACTTAAAAACTAAAAAAAAAATATCCTCCTCAGTTGTAAATCCCAAGACCAACAAATTCTTGAATTTTGCTAACGTTTTTATACGCTAGTTAAAAAATAACGATTTTAACGTAGTCTTTGACACATAAGATGATTTACAATATTATAAAAAGTGGATATAAAATACATTTTCACAAAACCTATCAGAAAGTATTTAAACACAATAAACTTAACAATTAGCATTAGTGCTGGGTGAATCGTCCGCATGCTCGAGTGACTTACAATCTAACAAAACACGATCACATAGTGAAAGCAAAATGTGCTTGTGAAGCGAGTGTTGGAAGAGTTTCTTGTTGGTTTTCTGCACAGCTGATGTTAAATGCGGCGTTAGACTCCATCACATCCTCCAGTGACAAAACATAGGCTTCAAATGCTGTGATTTTATGCCAATCCTCCAACTTACCAAATTCAACCAAGCGTTTGAAGTAACAATTTGGTTCCTTTCATCCTGAAATGAATTTTTAGCGAGATCCAATTACTAATTCTATAACAAAATTTTGTCCCCGGATTTTTACAGAGTTTAGTATTTTTGAATTTTTCTTTTAATTTGTTTTAGTTGTGGTGATTTTTAGGGGGCTTTAAATACTTTTAAATCGGTTATTATTTGTTTGGTTAGAACAGTTTAGTTTTACTTTCGTTATTTTTATACATTTGAACAATATACCAACGTATGATATAAACCCTTGCACACAATATTAAAAATAAGTTAGCCATATTATTATAAATACAACTTAAATGTGAATAAACCATGTTTACTTGTTAGTTGAACTTTTGTATTTAGTTCAATAAACAATTTTCTCCTAAAGCTCAGTCTGCTATACAAAAAACATAAATTATATAATTTATTGAGCTGCAAATTTTGAGTTTCAACAACTTTATAAAACACTAGCAATTTAAGTTATATTTTAACACTAATATTTTTCTTTTTTTGAATGATTTAGAATAATATATTTTAGATAAAGAAATAAGAAGACCTGAACACCATGGATACAGCTAGATTTTGCCCTTACAAGTGCTGCTTTAGCGGAAAACTCCGGAACTATTTCGTGGTAGTTCGCCCGTTCTCCCAGCGTCTGCAGCACTGTACCATTCCGTATCGATCCAAGCGAGCATTTCATCACTTTAACACTTTCATTCAAAGTGAAACGAGGTAGCTAACGAATTAATGTGCAATATGTTAATATTGTTTTTATGGTGGCAGAGATTTTTTATTGACGTATTTGTATGAAATAACCAATTTTATCTTTTGATTATTTGTTATCACTCTAAATCCATGGGGAAATATTAGAACTAACTACAAAAATGCCATTCGAAATACAAGGATACGTTTAATAGTTAACGTTAATGGACACATTAAACTACTTGGTATTATTTAAATTCAGTAAATTGAATCAACATATGATATTTACGGTATGAACAAGTAATTAGAATAAAACTTACATTCAATGAGTAATTTAATCAAAATATGGGGCCTACATGATACTACATAAGCTATTCTTGATACTATCAAATGTCCATCTTACAAAAACAATTAAATTAAGATTTAAAAATCAAGATATGGGAATTTATGGCCCATAGTTTGGCTGTTTACTTACGGGACACACCTGTATATGAACAATGTGAACATATGATTAGGCTGATCTTTAAAATTTTACAATGTATAATGTACTTTTTATATTGAAAGACAAGAAGGTTTTGGTCAACAGGATGACTAAGCTACAATCGTCGTTTGGTGGAATATCACTTGATTTATTTATATTTTAGCCTGAATACAAGCAACGACTTTTGTTTGAAATAATTCAGTTATTCACTGCTATTAAATTACTTGGAAGAATATTTTCCATACAATAAGTAGGCTATAATAAAAGTATCAATAAGTATATATATATAATACGTGAAGGCGATTTCTACGAAACACTACTCCTCCGTTAATAATGGACGGATTTTACAAACAATGTGTAAAAATAAAGTATTTGTTGTGTCCCTTTCACCAATTCCTGTAATAAAAGTCCTCGGGCTTTGCCCGCCATCAAAATCCCAATGTATTTCTTGTAAAGAAAAGATTTGGTTTATTTAATCAGACGAAAAATTTTTATTAATTACAGCTGTTCATAGTAAACACATGATACACACAAGAACCTTCGTTTTTAGAGTGAGTTCGGTTTCAGTTTCGATAACTGGAGTGGAGTGATTCATTTCATTATCCTAAAGTTGACTCTTTTAAGTCATCGGAAATTATGACTGTTATTCGTTTTGAAACTGTAATACTTTGCAATTGCTCGAATTCGAGCAACATGATCACTAGTATAAAAATAATACTTGCCAAGTCATAAGGCTTGTTTGGAGACTGAGAAGATCGATATGACATCCTTTGGATATCCTTATTTGACAATTGGTTAGTTCCGTAACTTTCGTGGGCCAACAATATTATATATATGATTTAGTGTTTCCATTGTAATATTTACGCCAACCCAAATTCAAATAGTAAATATTTCATTTCTACCAAGTCAGTAAATGTTTGTAGCAAACTGTTGAATTAGCAAACTTATTGACTGTTTACAATTAACATATGTTCTTCTCACTTTTAATTTCTGACAACAGCTGGAGTTTTATAACAATGTTTGTTTCCCATGTTAATCTTATGGAAAAATATGAAACTTTAAAGAGCCCCAGGGCCTCACTCTCTAATTATTTCCCTAAAAAGAAAGTTTCCTGCACAACTTCACGTTACGCTCTTTCCAACGACGCCAAAAACATGTCAATCGGTTCAGTATTTTCGGAAGAGTAATTGTCACAAAAAACCTGCTTGCGTATTAAATAAGTATAGATTAACTGTTCAAATAATTATAAAAACACATAAACCACAGAATCATCCAACACGAATCTATCAAAGAAAGTAGAGGTCAGATACATTAAA